CTCATGTGTCACATAAATTTTACACGTAGCGTGTGACTAAATGAAAATCAAAATAAATCGGAAAAGTCATCAAACAGGACACGTGTCAACACCTGGCAAAAAACAACTTATGTCATTTGAATATTATATCCAAAATTAGGCCTTGGAAAATTCTATAAATAGAAGCCATTTCATTCATTTTAGAGGGGCATGGACATTACACCAAAAAAACCTTGAAGCTTTGAAACTCTAAAGCTCCTAAGCAAATCTCGAAGGATCGAGAAAGCTATCTTCGTTCTTCGTCAAATCCTCCTTCAAAATCAACCCCTAAAGACCCTTGAAGATCCGTTCCAGAGACCCTTGAAGATCCATTCATCAACAGTTCTTCAAGATCAAGCCCAAAAGCCCCTTGAAGATCCGTTCGCCAACTATTCATCAAGATCAAGCCCCAAAGGCCCTTGAAAATCCATTCATCAATTGTTTATCAAGATAAAGCCCCAAAGACCCTCGAAGGTCCATTCATCCACTGTTCATCAAGATCAAGCCCCAAAGACCTTGGAAGATCCGTTCATCAACAGTTCGTCAAGATCAAGCCCAAAAGCCCTTGAAGATCCGTTCATCTATCAACCTTTAAGATCAAACCCAAAAGGCCCTTGAAGAAACTTTCGACCGTTCATCCAAGATCAAGCCTCGACAGCCCTTGAATCGGCATCATAATCCATAAATCTACGCATCACGGAGATCGAATAAGAGGATCAAATTTGAAAGAGATTGTAACCCCTAAATCATCAATACAAATATTATTTTGTACACGTGTTCTTGTCGCATTCATTGTAGAAATTACCGTGTTTACAAATTTAGCACGCCCGGTGGGACCTCTCTGCCTCTCATCTCTATCTCCAAATCCATAAGAAAGACACATGGCATCAAGGAAGACTCAAGCTGTTCCTGCAACCAACACGAAGAACAGGGGCATCCTCGCCGCAGGTGGTGTCACTTCGGGCATTATAACTCGAAGCAAGGCAAGAGCTCTTTCTGCCTCATTTTCCACCCCTGCATCAACTCTGCAGAAGGAACAAGAGCACCCGAGGCACGAACCTATGATCACCCTGGCCTCGCTAAGGGTCCCAATGGAGGAAAGCTCAAGAAAATACCCTGGTTCCATGCTTTCCGATGCCGGCTCAAGCGGCAGCTCAGCCATGCAAGTCATGACCACTGGAGTGACTTCCATCGATGAGCAGCTGGCTCATATGAATGAAGCGATCGCAAGGCTAACACGGACTGTGGAAGAAAAAGACTCACAAATCGCTGCATTCGTTAACCAATTAGAGGCGCAGCACGATGAGAAACCCAACCTAAAAGGTAATCCACCAAATAGAGGAACTGGCAAAGAAGATGAGCCTCTGGCGGAGAGAGTCGAAGAGAAGTCGGAGCCAGACCTGGCAATGGCATTCATGGGATCTCTTTCTATCCAGCAGCTGCAGGAGATGATCGCCAGCACCATCAAGGCGCAGTATGAAGGAAGCTCGCATGACTTTGTACTATACTCAAAGCCCTACCCCAAGAAGATTGACCCTTTAAAGATGCCAAAGGGTTGTCAATTGCCAAAGTTCATGCAATTCGATGGAAAGGGAAACCCAAAGCAACATGTCGCCCATTTCATTGAGACCTGCAACAACGCAGGGATAGAAGGAGACTACCTTGCCAAGCAGTTTGTGCGCTCACTGAGTGGTACACGGACCTAGAGCCTGAGTCCATTAACAGATGGGAGCAATTGGAAAGGGAATTCCTCAACCGCTTCTACAGCACCCGCCGCACTGTGAGTATGCTAGAGCTGACGAGCACGAGGCAATGGAGGGATGAAACAGTCGTGGACTACATCAACCGATGGCGCAATCTAAGCCTCGACTGCAAGGACCTTGAGGGAATTAGAGCTGAAGGTGTACCATTTTCCTGACTCAGACATGGATGCAATGTTAGACGACTTGCAAGAAAAGAAGGTAATCGAGCTACCCAAATGCAAGCGGCCTGAAGAGATGAATCGCGTAAACGATCCTAAATACTGCAAGTATCATTGAATCGTGAACCATCTTGTTGGTGAGTGCTTCATCTTCAAAGAGCTCATCATGAAGCTAGCACAACAAGGGCGAATCGAACTTGACCTCGAAGACACAGTCGCAACACATACTACTACAATTGCATTTGGATCCTTCGATCCCGTGCCTCTCCAAGCGACACCTAACCATTCCTATCAATGTTCAAGTTGCACGATACCTTCTGCGCAACCATCGCCGGGGGAAAACGACCAAGGTGCACTTACCAATGATGAAGAAGGATGGACGTTGGAGACCTATAAGAAGACGAGGAAGCCAAGACCGCAGCTATAAGGCCAAAAGGGGAGCAAGGGAGAAAGTACCGTCGCCGCAATAGTAGGAAGCCTAAAAGAAATGAAAAAGCTGCCAAACCAACGTATGTTGGGGAACCTATGGAGCAAGAGCCACGCATTCCTGTCTCATTGCACGAGTACTTCCCGAAGGACTTTTTCCAACAGCGCACTACCGTCGCCTGTCACATGGTTGAAGTAGAAATGGAAGAGCCTTCAAAAGGCAAAGCTATCACCACTGAGGGAGAAAAAACTCTCACGCTTGAAGAAGGTCTGCTAACACACTTTAGCATTGAGGAAGCGCTACGATTGCCAAAGAAGACGCGAAGAGCACTGGCAGCGGTCTTGGCAAGTCTCGACGACCAAGAAGTGCAAGAAAGCAAGAACGAAGGCCTGAAGCTTCGACCATATGAATGTGCCACATGCTGTGCCGCCGAGGACGCAATCCACTTCACCGATGAAGACTTGCTACTAGGATCCAAGCCTCACAACCGTCATCTCTTCGTCTCTGGGTACGTCAGGGAGCACAAAGTCAACCGCATGCTTGTGGTTGGTGGATCAGCCATAAACATCACGCCAAAGTCAACAATGACTACAATCGGCATCAAGGCGGATGAACTGTCCCTAAGTCGTCTACTAATCCAAGGTTTTAATCAAGGAGGACAAAGAGCGATGGGCATGATCCGAGTGGAGATGACTATTGACGAACTCAAGTCAAGCACAATATTCCATGTGATTGATGCAAGAACTTCCTACGGCTTGCTCTTAGGAAGGCCTTGATAAGCTCATATTTATATATATTTTACATCAAATTCACTTGTCTTTTCTTAGTTAGTTCCTTATATTTTTGAGCTATTTACTTTGTTTTTGTGTTTAGTAGGATTTGTCAAGCAAAGAAAAGAAAAATAGCACAAGTTGGATATTAAGTGACAAATTCGTCAAAACTGCCTGTGCAGGTCAGCTGACTTTGGAAGAAAGTTGCGAACAGCTCAGAATGAATTAGAGAATGAGCCTTATATTCTTAGAAAGCTACGGATGTCTATTTTCTGGAGCATTTCGTAGATTTTTAATCGCATTTTTGTAGAAGAAGTTATGGCCGTTTTAACACTGAAAGGTTTCCAAGACGCTGTGCAGTTTGTAACTGCATTGAAGGCAATAAATCCAATAAAACTTGCAGCCAAGAACAAGCCAGCTGAAAGCTCTTCAAATATCAGATGAAATGGAATTAAAGATGAGGATTAAGTGGGAGTAATTGGCATAAAGGTTGCCCAAAGAGTTACAATTGTTTTACAATTTCCTCTCACTTATTGTCATCACTAAATGGCTGTTAGTGGGGTGAGTTATGGAGCAGAAATGGGGCAGCAAGCATGGGCATAAAGGCTGCAGGTTGCAGCAGCAAAGGAGAGTTCTTTAGAGAAAAAAAGATAGAAAAAAAAGGAAGGAAAGGAAGGAAAAAAAAAAGCAAGGCTGCTGCGTTGAGAAAGGAAGGAAAGGAAGGAGGAAATCTTGGCATTCTCTTCTCTCGGTTTTATCTTCTCAAACTCATGTCTTTCTTTTGGTTTATTTTGAGAACTATGTGTAACTAATTTTTTAGAGGTTAGGGGCTGTTTTGAAGCCCCGAATATGATTGCAATTTTGTTATGACATTTCGTTAAATTATTTTTATGAATGGATGAAACTTGGTTCACTACTTGTCTCATTGATGAATTCTTTATTTGTTTTCTATGGATGCATACGTAGTAAGCATATATAGGATTCTAATGCTATGAGTATGTGTGTGCCTGCCCTTGTCGAATGAGGACCTACATATGTTCTAAAGTAGTACTTGTTAATTGCGATTAACATGTGAACCAATTTCTAGGATAAGTAAGACAACGCTAGTACTTACGATGCCTTGTGATGACTCAAACTCTTTTCGTTCTTAATGATTTCTACTTGTTAAATCTATGAACACGCCATTCTAGATTGCATGCTAGGGACTAAGTTAAGTTGAAAACGCCATTCTCTTAACATACTACGTAAGAAAGAGTAATAGGTTGAGTTCTAACATTGAGCCAACTTGAGCATCTTCATCCGGAAATAAAAGAAATTTGAATGAAACATAACATGTTTGCATGATTATTTGGTGGTGGATAGCAATACCCCTAACTCGTTTTTCTTAATTTGTGAACTACTTAAAATTTGTTTCTACCCTGTTTTTGTTCGATTTAATTTAAATAGCAAATCAACTCCAAAAATATCAAATATTTGTGTGAGTGTAGCTTTGTGTGTCTAGTATCTACATATAAAAGTTTGTAGACTTTAGATATGTATAAGTCAGTCTAATAATTATTTTTCGGTGGCTGGTCAGTAGGGACAACAACCCAGTTTTTGTGACATTTTAGGTAGTTAGATAAAACAATCTTCTGCGGGAAAGACCCTTATTTTCATATGCTACAATTGACAAATCTTAGTGTTAATAAGGAAAATCAATAGGACATTTGTGTGCTACTTTGTGGTGTGCTTTTAATCCTATCAAATTTTTGGTGCCGTGTCGCCGGGGATTGTTATTTTTAATTACTTATTTTTCTGTTGTTTTCTTTTCTTGTCTCATTAGTGTTTTTGTTTTTGTTTTTATTTCAGGTACTCTTCGTAGTATATGCATACTCGAAGGTCCAAGAGCATTGATCTAGCTTCGTATGATCCTGAGCTTGAACGAACACTTCGAAAGCTTCAGGGAAAAATCAAGCCGAAGCGTGCATCGGTGTCCTTACCACCATCTTCTCCACTACATTTGAGTTCTGAAGAGGAGGAAGAACCACAAGAAGGCATGGCTGATAACCGTACTTTGAGGGAGTTGGCAACGCCGAATACGGATCAACAACCATTGTGCATCACCTATCCAAATGCAGACGGAGGATTTGAGCTCAAGTCCGGCATGATTCACTACTTGCCTAAGTTCCATGGCTTCTCAACAGAGGATGCCAACAAGCATCTCATGGAGTTTCACGTGGTATGCTCGGGAATGAGACCAGCAAATGTGGATGAGGAGCAAGTCAAGTTGAGGGCATTCCCATTTACATTAGAAGCTAAGGCAAAGGAGTGGCTTTACAATTTACCTCCGGGATCAATGAACACATGGAACCAGGTGAAGCAAGCATTTTTGGTGCAATATTTTCCGGCCACAAAAGCTGCAAGCATAAGGAAGGACATATGTGCAATCCGACAACAACATGGAGAGCCCTTTGGAGATTACTATGAGCGATTCACACATTTGGTTGCATCTTGTCCTAATCATCAAATTTCAGAGCATCTTTTAATATAGTATTTTTATGAAGGATTATATGGTACTGATCGTGTAATGCTTGATGCAGCAAGTGGAGGAGCATTCATGGACAAGACACCAATAAATGCTAAGGCATTATTAAAGAACATTGCTGGCAATACACGACAATTTGGAGGGAGAGATGAGCTACCTCTTAAGAAAGTTAACGAGGTAAGTGCTAATTCTAGTATTGAATTACAATTAGCTAACTTGACTAATCTTGTGCAACAGGTTATGGTGGCTCCAAAACAGGTGTGTGGTGTATGTTCAATGATGGGACATGCCACGGACATGTGCCCTTCGTTGATGGATCAAGGTGGTCTTGAGCAAGCTAATGCGTTAGGAGGATTTCAAGGGCAACAAAGGCAAATGTATGATCCATTTTTCAACAACTATAACGCAGGATGGCGCGATCATCCACACTTAAAGTGGAACAATCAAGACAACGGACAACAATCTGTTCCCAACAACTATAACCGTCCGTCTGGCTTCTTTCAAGCAAGACCACAGACACCATTTCAGCCTCAACAACAACAAGCTCCAAGTAAGTCTCTTGAGGATTTAATTGCTTCTTTAGCTAACTCTACTCAATCTCATCAACAGAAAACAGACAAAGCAATTGAAAACCTTGAGCACCAAATGAGTCAGTTAGCAAGTTTGATGGGGCAACAACACCAACCAGGAAGGTTGCCTAGCCAAACCGTGGTGAATCCAAATGCGGAGCAGATGAATGTTGTGACTTTAAGGAGTGGAAAAGAAGTTTTTGAGCAGCCGAGGATGCAAAAGAGGACTAGAAAAGACACAATTGAACAAGGGGAGCTACAAACCAAGAATCTTGAGCAAGATGTAGCTTCAACAGAAACTGAAAAGTCTCCTAAAGATACATAATTGAACAAAAAAGATTCTGATAAGGTAAGTAAAGAAGTTCAAAATTCATTTAACTCATGTGTCCCTATTCCTTTTCCTCGTAGGTTTATAAAGTCTAAGAAAGAGCAAACTGATAAGGAAATCTTGGATACTTTCCGGAAAGTCCAAGTGAACTTACCTCTTTTAGATGCCATAAAACAAGTGCCCAAGTATTCAAAGTTCCTTAAAGAGCTTTGTACGAACAAGAGGAGATTCAATGATCAAGAAACTGTGGCATTAAGCGAGGAAGTATCAGCTGTTTTGCAGAGAAAGCTGCCATCGAAGTTGAAGGATGCCGGTAGCTTTACCATTCCATGTGTAATCGGAGGGAAAGAGTTTGGGAGAGCATTGTGTGATTTGGGGGCATCCATTAATCTGATGCCATATTCAGTGTATGAGTCATTGAACCTTGGAGACTTGAAGGAAACAAAGGTAGTAATCCAGTTAGCAGATCGTTCAAATAGATATCCCAAAGGCCTATTGGAGGACGTACTTGTGCAAGTGAATGAGCTTATTTTTCCCGCTGACTTTTTTGTTCTTGAGATGGAGCATGACCCTATGCCTACTGCACTTCCTCTTATATTGGGAAGACCATTCCTTAGAACAGCGCGTACGAAGATTGATGTCTACGATGGTACCTTAACCATGGAAATTGATGGAGAAAGTGTCAAGTTCAAAATCTTCAATGTTATGAGGTACCCTAGTGATTTAGAATCTTGTTTGTCTATTGATGCGTTTGACTATTTTATGCAGGATTGTTTTAATGAAGGTGTGGGACAAGATAATTTAGAAAAGGCGTTAGTGCATAGCATTACACATGGAAATTTTAATTATTCAGAGCACATTGAAGAAGAATTAATCCAAACAGTGGCCTCTCTTAAGTCTCTTTCGCCAATTCGTGGTAAGTGTTCTTCCTATTTTATTTCTCTTCCTACTTCTAACGAAAAAACTCTTCCTTCTGTGATTCAGGCACCTAAATTGGAGCTTAAACCGATCCCTGAACATTTGAAGTATGCATTTTTAGGAGAGGATGAAACATTACCCGTCATCATATCGTCACAACTCACAGCATAAGAGGGGGAGAAACTGATCCGGGTACTAAAGGATCACAAAACTGCCATAGCTTAGAGCATTGCAGATATCAAAGGTATAAATCCAGCTACATGTATGCATAGGATTCTGCTGGAAGAAGGTGCAAAACCAACTAGGGAAGCTCAACGCCGTTTGAACCCACTCATGATGGAGGTCGTTAAGAAAGAGGTTATCAAACTTCTTGATGTTGGCATCATATATCCTATCTCGGACAGCAAGTGGGTGAACCCTATTCAAGTAGTTCCGAAGCGATCCGGAGTCACAGTTGTTAAGAATGAAGCTAGTGAGCTAGTGCCTACACGTGTGCAAAATAGTTGGAGAGTCTGTACAGACTATCGGAAGATAAATAGCACCACACGCAAGGATCACTTTCCAGTTCCGTTCATTGATCAAATGTTAGAAAGGTTAGTTGGTCATTCTCATTATTGCTTTCTTGATGGCTATTCTGGATATAATCAGATTGCAGTTGCTTCGGAGGATCAAGAAAAGACGACTTTCACATGTCCATTTGGCACATTTGCGTATCGAAGGATGCCGTTTGGACTTTGCAACGCCCCCGCCACATTTCAAAGATGTATGGAACATATGGTTATGTCCACCTTTGGAGTTTATTGCAAAATTGCAGTTTGGGGGTCATCACTTGATTTTACTACAAATTGGGGAAGTTTTCAGTCCAAATGCTTTATTTTGTTTCTTTTTATTTTATTTTATGCATTAATGTTTTTTTTTTGACATTGGGGACAATGTCCAGTTTAGGTTTGGGGGTAATGATGGAAAAAATGACCAAATTGAAAATTTTCGTACCTTCAACTAAGAATTGGATTGATTTGTTTTCTTTAAAAAAAAAAAACATTCAGAAAATGTGAAAATCCAAAAAAATATTGTCTTATTTTCTTTATCGTTTTGAAGTAGATTTTTGTTAGTTTCCCGACCCAATGATATAATTGGATTGAATTTGAACCACGGTGATCATGAATTTAGTAAGCATGTGTTGTGTGAAATTCCTTATTCTCTTGTTAGCCTTGTACATGTTTAATCATCTTTGAAAAACCAAATGCACATAGCTTTGTTGATGTGAAACTAAAGTATGACTTAAAACTTCGCATGTGAATATAGTGACCATATACAACCTATGTGAGTTTTTGAGCCTATTCAAAGTGTGTGCATTTTTCATACACTCATATTCTTTCATGTGTGATGAACTTATGTGAATTACATCTCTAGAACTTGCTTAACGATCTTTTGAAATGTTTGTCATTGATTGCATGAACTTGAAAATGATAGAGGCATTAGGTTTATCACCATGGCCCAAATAAGCATGTTTCCTAAAGAAAAATGAGATCATTAGATTGCCAATTTGAGCCGTATATGTTGAGCCTTTTATTTCTTATCACCAGATATGTCTCCCCTTATACCTTAAACATTTTTCCTTACCCTTTCCAAGCTAGCTAGTGAGCAATGTGAGATTGTCTTATGAGAAATATTTGTGAAGTACTTCAAAAGAGTCTGGCAAAAGAATAAGTGTGGGGGTATTTCATGTTTGTATTTAGTTATGTACGAAAATTGGATCAAAAAAACAAAAAAAAAAAACAAAAAAAAAAAAAAAAACAAAACAAAAAAAAAAAAAAAAAAAAAGAAAAATTGTATACAAAGCAAATAAAAGTTTTTTTTTTTTAAGTTTCAGTTTAGAGGTGTGGTTGGAGGTATTAGTAGAATGGTTGGAGAGCTTGAGTTCTTATAAATCTCAACAAGAGAATTGCTTGCAATGTAGCTTGGAACTTGTGTTTACCTATCCCTTCATTTCTATAACCCTCTCCCTAAGCCTCATTACAACCAATAAAAGTCCTCTTGATTTAAGTTTTGCAATTATGATTGTGGAGATGAGATCTTTATGCAAGCTTATGGTAGATCTTTCACATTTGATTCTTTGAGCGAAACACGTTAAACTAAACATATGTGTGATTGAGTGTATGTCCCGTGAGAAGATCACTAGTTAGCATGTGGTGTTTTAAAAAAAACTTGAAATTGCATTAGCATGGCTATTACACACACTACACTTCATGGATGATTAAAAGGTTACTGCTAACATTTGAATAAGGAAGATGAGCTTGGATTAGCTTGTTTGGTGCTAGCTAAGGTTCTTGATGATTTGTTTTCTTGAATGAAATTTTATGAGGGTCACATAGGGGGAAGCTATTGTTTTTCATGTTGCTACTTTTTCATATTTTCTTCATTTTGCTCGAGGACTAGCAAAAGCTAAGTGTGGGGGTATTTGATAAGCTCATATTTATATATATTTTACATCAAATTCACTTGTCTTTTCTTAGTTAGTTCCTTATATTTTTGAGCTATTTACTTTGTTTTTGTGTTTAGTAGGATTTGTCAAGCAAAGAAAAGAAAAATAGCACAAGTTGGATATTAAGTGATAAATTCGTCAAAACTGCCTGTGCAGGTCAGCTGACTTTGGAAGCAAGTTGCGAATAGCTCAGAATGAATTAGAGAATGAGCCTTATATGTTTAGAAAGCTACGGATTTCTATTTTCTGGAGCATTTCACGGATTGTTAATGGCATTTTTGTAGAAGAAGTTATGGCCGTTTTAACACTGAAAGGTTTCCAAGACGCTGTGCAGTTTGTAACTGCATTGAAGGCAATAAATCCAATAAAACTTGCAGCCAAGAACAAGCCAGCTGACAGCTCCTCAAATATCAGATGAAATGGAATTAAAGATGAGGATTAAGTGGGAGTAATTGGCATAAAGGTTGCCCAAAGAGTTACAATTGTTTTACAATTTCCTCTCACTTATTGTCATCACTAAATGGCTGTTAGTGGGGTGAGTTATGGAGCAGAAATGGGGCAGCAAGCATGGGCATAAAGGCTGCAGGTTGCAGCAGCAAAGGAGAGTTCTTTAGAGAAAAAAAGATAGAAAAAAAAGGAAGGAAAGGAAGGAAAAACAAAAAGCAAGGCTGCTGCGTTGAGAAAGGAAGGAAAGGAAGGAGGAAATCTTGGCATTCTCTTCTCTCGGTTTTATCTTCTCAAACTCATGTCTTTCTTTTGGTTTATTTTGAGAACTATGTGTAACTAATTTTTTAGAGGTTAGGGGCTGTTTTGAAGCCCCGAATATGATTGCAATTTTGTTATGACATTTCGTTAAATTATTTTTATGAATGGATGAAACTTGGTTCACTACTTGTCTCATTGATGAATTCTTTATTTGTTTTCTATGGATGCATACGTAGTAAGCATATATAGGATTCTAATGCTATGAGTATGTGTGTGCCTGCCCTTGTCGAATGAGGACCTACATATGTTCTAAAGTAGTACTTGTTAATTGCGATTAACATGTGAACCAATTTCTAGGATAAGTAAGACAACGCTAGTACTTACGATGCCTTGTGATGACTCAAACTCTTTTCGTTCTTAATGATTTCTACTTGTTAAATCTATGAACACGCCATTCTAGATTGCATGCTAGGGACTAAGTTAAGTTGAAAACGCCATTCTCTTAACATACTACGTAAGAAAGAGTAATAGGTTGAGTTCTAACATTGAGCCAACTTGAGCATCTTCATCCGGAAATAAAAGAAATTTGAATGAAACATAACATGTTTGCATGATTATTTGGTGGTGGATAGCAATACCCCTAACTCGTTTTTCTTAATTTGTGAACTACTTAAAATTTGTTTCTATCCTGTTTTTGTTCGATTTAATTTAAATAGCAAATCAACTCCAAAAATCCCAAACATTGTGTGAGTGTAGCTTTTTGTGTCTAGTATCTACATATAAAATTTCGTAGACTTTAGATATGTATAAGTCAGTCTAATAATTATTTTTCGGTGGCTGGTCAGTAGGGACAGCAACCCAGTTTTTGTGACATTTTAGGTAGTTAGATAAAACAATCTTCTGCAGGAAAGACCCTTATTTTCATATGCTACAATTGACAAATCTTAGTGTTAATAAGGAAAATCAATAGGACATTTGTGTGCTACTTTGTGGTGTGCTTTTAATCCTATCAGGCCTTGGATCCATGCGAATGGAGTAGTACTGTCCACCCTTCACCGATGCTTAAAATTTTACCGAGAAGGGGTGAAAGTGATCTATGGCGACACCGAACTATTCAGCGAAGCCGAATCACATTTCGTAGACGCCAAGTTCTACATGGATAAAGACATGGTGCCCGAAGCTCTTCCAAAAGAGATCAAATCTACGGGTAAAGCAACACCTATAAAGCAGGAGTGGCAAGCCGTGCCTAAGAAGCAAGAAGGAAAAACTATGCCGTCTTCAAGCAAGAACAATGATGAGCTTGCTAAACCCGCAACAACCAAAGGGAGTAGGATGCCCTCAAATGGACCAAACACACCCGTCTTCCGATACATCCCGATGTCGAGAAGAAAGAATAGTCAATCTCCATTCGAAACTGGAGCAAGCAAAGCCGATGCACAGCGGCACAAGAATAATGTAAAGTTGCTCAAGACGAATGCAGTTTTGCCTCTGACATAGCTAAGCGACGCTAAGGTTGCAAGACTACCACAAGGCTTCATAAAAGCTCTACCAAAGGGGGTGGAACCATACTTTCTCCCAACCAAGATGACTGAAAAAGGTTTTGATCCAAATGCCTATAAACTCATGTCGAAAGCGGGGTACGACTTCGCTTCTTCTTCGAATCCTAGAAATAAGGTTTCAAACATCGTCAACAATAA